GGATGGGGAGTTGGGGCTCACGACCTGTCACTATCTATTTTCACCACATATTTATGGATAAGTCCTGCTGGCAGCCTCCGGATCGGAGCCAACTCTAATCCTCACCATATCTCTCCCCTCTCTCTATGCCCTGAAATGAAAACATAAAGTGGTTTTGCTTGGGGAACTTATCTGGCTTGGGGATGTCTGAGAAACCTGCTAATTGACTTCTTTCTTAGAGAAGTAGAAAGTTCTAAAATTCTGCAGGTTTCCTATTTTTACTGCTCTTCTCACACCAGATGAGCATATTCTTGTCAAGGGGCCCACTGGGAATTCTTTCAGCCTGTGACTTCCATCGAATGTGAATATCCCATAGCAACAGCCCTTGGGGGCTCAGCCAGCTACTCTGTCCCTGTAAAGGTACTAAATGAAGACATCGAGGAAGTCACCAGCCTTGCATCTCCAAAGACTTGAGCTCACATAAGTGTTTACAGGGAAAATAATTCGAAAACCTCTATATCTAATTTGCACGGCCCATCTGCCGTTGGAAGGGAGTCAGAGCTTCTAGGTCAGTGGTTCTCAAACTTCAGGGTGAATACATGTCACCATAGGAGCTTATGTCAAAAGAAGATTCTGATTCCATGGGTTTGCACTGGGGCCCGGGTTTTGCTTCCCTTCCCTCCTTTTCTTATTTAAGCTCCCAAGGTGGGCCTTCAGCCAGTGGTCAGGGGCCCTCTGACTGATGGGCATTGGCCATGCACCTCTCTGCATGCTTGGCTCTCCCTCTGTGGGCATGAGAAGAGCCATCCAAGCTGATGGCTATAGGGCTGGGGTAATTGTCGTCTGCATGTCAGGAGACCCCCTGAGCTTTCTACCACACATACGCATCTTCGCTCCTCTCTTAAAAATACCTTCCGGGCCAGCCTGGTGGCGCACTGGAGAGTGCGGCGCTTGGGAGCATGGCAGCGCTCCCGCCGAGGGTTCAGATCCCATGTGGAGACCGGTTCCTGCTCACTGGCTGAGCGCTGTGCGGGCGCAACACCGAGGATTGCGATCCCGTTGCCAGTCAGTAAAAAAGACAAAAAGGGAAAAAAAAAATACCTTCCAAAGGAATGTTGTTTTCTTTGCAAAAAGACACTTCCTTGAAGGCCTGCAGAAGTCAAATGTTCTCTGGAGCTGTGTCTGGGGTGGTGAATGACCTGCCGCAGAGCCACACAGCACAACTGGAACTCTTCCAGGATGGTGATGTGAAAAGCAACTGAGCAACTTCCTTTCTTTATTTAGAAAACAGCTCTAAGAAGTCAACCTCTCATTCAGTTCCAGGAAGATGCAAAGACCTGGTAGGGTTTGGGGTGGGCCACACTGGTGAGGATCCAGGGCCCCGCGAGAGGAATTGTCAAGTTTGAGCTTACGCAGTAAGGAAGGAGAATGGGTTCTACTTGAAGTTCTGGGGTGTTTCTGCTGTACTGCATGCTATATTTGACAACTGAGTATTCATTTATTGGGTACTTGCTGTATGCCAGTCTCTGCTGTACACTGGGTTACAGAAGGGATCAGGGGCCTGAAATCTAGCCACTTCCTCGGGGAAGGCAGGTACCACAGCCTGTGACTATATACTTTACTGATTGTCTTTGTTCCTAGATGCTATGGAGAAACTAAAAAGAATGTATTAACCAGGGAGGACTAACATCTATAATGAATAAACTACAAATGTTAGTATTACAATAACATAAAGGTTAATTTCTTGCTCAGATCACAATCCAGTGTGGTTTGAAGGAGGTCTTTCCCCAAACGCTCATTTGACATTCGCTCTCCTTTTACTCAATGGCTTCCATTATCCCTAAGGGCCTTGGGGTCTGCTGTCTCTGGCCAGCCACTGAGGCGAGAACAAGAGTATGTCCAGCCTGGAGTGGAGTCCATCACACCCGCCACGTCCCAGGGGCCATAGTGCCACACCTGCCCTGCTCGGGGCAAGCTGGGAAGTGTACCCTAGCCAAGCGCCCACGAGAAAAGGACTTGGGGCTTGCTAAGCACACTCGGTATGACACTCTCACTGTCACATAGGGTACTTGAGGAAACGAGGAACAGGGCTGGGGGGGGCTCTGTAATTTTTAGATGAGGTTGGTGGTCGAGGAAGGCCCCCCCGGTTGAGAGAAACTTCCAGACAGAATCTGTTGGTCCAAAAGGACCTAGGCATGGGCAGAGCCAAGAAAAGAACATTCTGGAGAGAGACAGAGAGCCAGAATACGTATGAGAAGCCTCTGAGGCAGAGGGGGCTTGATGTGCTGGAGAGACTTGAAAAGAGGCTGATGCAATTAGAGTTCGGAGGTGAGAAAGAGTTAAAGGAAGAAGTTTGTTAAAGCACAGTAGGGCAGACTTAATCCGGGACCATCACGAAAGGTACAGGGGCTGCTTCAATGGGGTTCTGCAGTAGGGGAGAGAGATTGGCCTCAGCGCAGACTACAATTAAAAAAAAAAGTGAGAATTTATAGCCAAGGAGCATGGCGGGGGTCGGTGGAGAGGAAACATGAGGAGTAAAGGGGGAGATTCTGGCTAACCTGACAACACAATTCTCACCAAAGGCAGGCCAGGGAGATCAGACATCACCTGAGAGATGCCAGAGGATGAGGAACTCGACGAGATTAGACACAGAAGGTGATCAGACACAGAGAATGGGGGATTCTGGTTAAACTGACTTAGCAGGATTCTTGCTCAAATTGGGCAATGCAGAGATGATGGAACCCAAAAACGAGGGCCTCATTGAAAGATAGTTCAGAGGAACCTGACTAGAGCTTGGTCCAGGAGAGAATCTTTATCAAAAGAAACCGTAAAGAGATGAGATCAGAAAGCAGAGCAGGAGCAGGTTGTGCCGGGCTCTCGGGGTCACGCAGAGAATCTGAACTGTGCCTCCTGGACAATGCATGACATGAACTGATGTGCAGTTTTAGAACTACGCTTTAAAATCACATCTCCAAAACTCTGCACTGATGATAACCCAGATGGCTACCGTGGGAGATAAAGAGATAACAGACAATTCCTTCTCTAAAGAAGGGCGATGTATGCACACAACAGAGAAGTAATCAGATGCTCCCTATTTTTATTAAGGTGTCATGGTGAGTGAGACAGAAAATAAGTGCTTTAACAATTCCATGAGCTTAATCAGGCCCGTGTGCTCAGAGAGGGAAGCCTCAAGAGGCCGGGAAATCTGATATCAAAGGACACTGAGCATTTGGGAAGCAAGGGGAGGTGGGAGGGCTGAGGACTCCAGCAGGGATCAACTCAGGCAGACACAGGAGGGTGCAAAGCATATTTGAAAAGTCCAGGAGCATCTCAGGAGGGAACACTGGCCTTTGGTGAAAAGAGAACCCCCGGCTCTCCATGGGGATGTCGGTATAATGACCACACTCGATGAGGCCAATTTCCTAAAATAAAATTAAGTTGAATTCTGAATTAGACAGTGAAGCTGCTTTTCTGGATGACGAGAGCCAGGGCAAATCCCCAATAATTCTGAGCTTATTTACTCCTTCTGGACTAGCTGGTCTTTAGTGGGAGACCTTATTAATTTAACTCAATTAATGAGAGAGTACAAATCGCTACTCTGAAGGGATTGGAAAATGTGTGGGTTTCTTTGCCACGGATCTCAGTGGAGATGTAACTGTGCTGGGCCAGGAAGGTGTCAGTGCCCGAGGGTAGTCGGGGTAGTCTTAGCAGCTCTTCCTATGACCAGGATGGGCCGGGACTGGGGCAGGTGCAGCAGGATCCTGCTCCTCCCGCTCATTACTTCAAGGAGACCAGCTTTGGCCTGTTAACTGTACACTGGTCCTAGGCAAATTCCAGAGAACCGTGTTTCTACTGAGCCAAACTTTCATTGATTTACACATTACACCCTACAGAAGACTTGGGCATTTGGACCCAATTCACGATCATTTATTTCATATTTTGTTATGGTAAGGGAATTCAGGGTAAAATGACGAAAGTGTAAGAAAATAATAAAGCCAGATGTAGAAATGCCTACCATACGCGGTCCTCTACAATCCCTAGACACAGTTCAGAAATTTGTCCTGAAGTTCTTAGCAGCCAAAGGAAGAAGGGAAATAAAATCTCTTACGGAAATGGTGTTTTTCATTAAAGCAAAGAAAACCAGTTGCCAAGAAGCACACAGCTTCTGGTCTTGAGACCCGTAAGAAACGCCTCACACATATACTGATAAAGTGAAGGTGATAAAAACATTTCCTCCTTTTAATGCTCCTCCATGCAGAATAATTGCACAAAACTACAATTTAGTTTAGAAAAATTAAGTATATGAAGAATCAAAAATTCTGCAGGTCATGTGAGTTTTTTAATGACTTTGCATAATTGGAGGGTAAAATTTTAAATATAGAATACTGAGTGGGATGCATGAATTTGGGCAGTTTTTCATAAAACAAGTCCAAATGAGGGAGTTGGGAACTGAGAAACCTCAGCTGAATATTATTTATTCGACGAACACCTAACAAGATGCTCCATTGCTCCATTGCTGCACAGTGGGCCTTGTGCCTGGAGATGAAGAGAATACATACAATCCCTGCCCTCAGAATGCTCAGAGTCTGTTCACGGAGACAGACATGTGGACACATTATTGCAAATACAACATGCTGTGCCATAGGAGAGAGGGGAAGGGGAAACAAACCTCATGGTGACTGGTGAGTCACAACTTTGCCAGCAATCAATGCGGGGGTCTTCTAACACGTTTCTCTTTCGGTGAGAATTTGAACCTGCTGTAGAAAGAGCGAGCCTGCTTGCCTCCATAGTCACTACTTAGTTTGAATTTGATTTTCTTTACTCCTTTTCCATTTCCCCTGTTTTGTAAGAGCAAAAGGAAATAAAGAACTATGCATTTCAGTAATTTTTGAAAAATTATAGTCAAGAAAAATTAATTGAGACAAACATGTGAGTTCTGGAGAAAAGCAAAGGCCCAGGCTTTTCTCTGTTCTGTGTTACCACCGTGGATGAAATAACATTTTCTCTGTTTTTATTGGCAGGCCAGTACAAGACCATTAATGAGTCTCTTCCCGATTGCGTAAGTCAGCTGCTTTCTTATCTTATTGTGTCAGTCTTTGATATTTACAAAGTAAGTGGCTTTTTGAAAGGTACTTGGTGAATTAAAAAAAAAAAAAAGAAAGAAAGGAAGGAAGGAAGGAAGGAAGGAAGAAAAAAGCTTTTCCAAACAGCATACTTCTGGCAAGGAAAACTGCATTTCAGTTTTGGGATATAATACTGTATTCCTTTTCCTTAGCTGTAAAATGGAGATAAAAATTAATTTACATGGTCATTGTGAAAACTGGATAAGGTGAAAATATCAACACACTGTGCTGGCCAATATGTTATGAGGAATGCACTTCCTAACACTCATTGTGAAATTTTACATTAAAACAAACTTTCTAGAAGGCAATTTTATAATATTAACTAAGCGATATAAAAATATTCAATATTCACCAATAATTCCATGGTCGGGAGTTTAACCTAAGAAACTAACTTAAAATTTGGGCTAATATTTAAACACATTTACTGGTATTTTATAATAATGTATTTTAAATGTCAGCACATTGGAATTATGCTAAATATTCAATAACACAGAAATAGTTGAATATGTTATGATATATCCACTTTATGAATCTATTTGCAATATTTACAAAGAATTTTAACAACTAAAGAAAAAGATTAAAATTTAAAACACTAACTCAAATACTTACAAGTAATCATATTATAAATTATATAATTTAAATAGTTTTAACTTTCAAATCTATAGACAGGTAGATATATAGAATGTGTCTATAAAATCATTGGCTCTTGACTTCTGAAGTACTCTTTAATAATTTAATTAAAGCTGTGAATTCTGAGCCAAGAATACAAATACACACACTTTTTCTGCAGAGAAATAGACCAAAATATTTGCATTCACTCCTGGGGGCACTCTCTGAAGTCTGATGTATATTCTCTCCAGACCTGGAGTGATAGCTGCTGTTCCTCCTGGCCTTCCTATAGCATCCTGACCCAACAAAGTCTAGCAAGGGGATTGGATGGAAAAAGGGTTCAGTATCACATCTTCAGTTCTTCTGGCAAGTCCAGGACTTTCCCAACAAGGCTACACCCTGGGAAGCCTTGATAGTTGCCATAACAGTGCATAAGTGGTGCCCTTGCAGCAAGTGTCCATCTATCAAATCCCCAAAGGAGTCCTAGGCCTGTTTTCCAGCTCAGAAATCACTTCCATGTGCAGTTCTGACACCAGACACAATCCTTCCTTTGCCACGTGGATGATGAAACCTCCTGGAGCTCAGCTACCAACAGCTTCATTCTGCCCTGGACACTCGGCTCTACCCACAGCTTAGCACATCGAAGAGAGGGAAGGGATCTAACCTGTACTAAGCTCCTATCATGAGGCAAATGTCAAATAGAACCTTTTCACACATTTCCTTAATTAAACTCTGCCAATGAAAGGAGCATGCCTGTTTACACACAGCAAGATACTGGCACCAGATCCCAATGCATAGATATAGATTCCAGAACTTCTCTGATGACAATTACATGCAAGTAAATCTATTGTGGACTGGTACCTTTTCCTGCCATTCCTGATGTTTAGACTCAGAGCCTTTGCTAAGTACTAACATTAATCTGCTTGGATCACCATAACTGGGTGGCTTAAACAACAGAGATTTATTTCCCACAGTTCTGGAAATTTGGAAGTGCAAGATCAAGATGCTGGCAGGGTTGGTAAGGACTCTCCCCTTGGGTTACAGAAGGCCACCTTCTCTCAATGTCCTCACAAGGGCTTTTCTTGGTGCATGAACATATGGCAAGAGAAAGCAAAAACCTGCAGAGTTAGAACCAGCCCAAATGTCCATCATCTGATGAGTGGATAAGGAAACTGTGGCACATCTACACATGGAATACTACTCTGCTATAAAAAAGAATGAAATACTGCCATTCGCAACAACATGGATGGACTTAAAGAAAATTATATTAAGTGAAACAAGTCAGGCACAGAAAGAGAAATACCACATGTTCTCACTTATTTGTGGGAGCTAAAAATAAATAAATAAATAAATAAACACAAACAAATTGGTGGGGCGGGGGACAGAATTACCACAAAAATTCCTTTAGCTAGTTAAGTCAACTGAACAGATATGATGTGGTGGGGGGAGGGGAGGGGGTGGAGAGGAACAGGTGCAGGGGCATGAAAATAACTACAGTGTATACTGAGAAGTAAAGTTTAAAAAATAATAAAAAATAAAAATAGTAAAAATAAAAATTAAATTAAATTAAATTGAAAACATGAACAACAAAAACAACCAAAAAAAAAAAAAGGCCTGTGCTCTCTGGCATCTCTTCTCATAAGGATACTAATCTTATGGGCAGATCAAGGCCCCACCCTTCTGACCTCATGTAACCTTAATTACTTCCTTAGAGGCCCCATCTCCAGATACAGCCATACTGGGAGTTAAAGCTTCAGCACAGGAATTCGGGAGGATACAAACATTCAGTCCTGTGACAGTACCCAAAGCATAATCTGGAACCAAAGAGAAATGTCTGAGACTATTCTTTATGGTAACTTTCTTCGTTTTTATTTTTGTTCTTTTACCAACTATTTATTGAGCACTTACTATTTGCCAGCCACTGCTATATGTACTGAATCTACTGAAGTAGCATAAAAGGACAATCTCTGACTTCATGAAATTTACCATCTAGTTAGAAGGGTGAACAGTAAAAGAAACAGCATCGGTTTGTGGTAAACACCGGAAAGAAAAATAAAGCAGGGTAACTGGAGAGAGGGAGAAAGTGGGCTACGTGGTAGGTGGAATCATGACCAGATGAACATATTGACCCACTAATCCCTGGAAGCTGTGGATATGTTGTGTTATATAGAAAAGGGGATTTTTTCAGATGTGATTAAAATTAAGGATTTTTGTTTCCCCGAAAAGAAAATCATCAGGAAGTTTGTATCAGAAGGGTGATGGAATAGGACTTAGATGGGTTACTGCTGTTTAATGGCACTGCCCTTGACCCTCTAATTATTATTATTTATTTTATTTTATTTGGGGGCACAGAACAAGTCTTAATAAAATTAAAAAGACTAAAATAATAGAAAATATGTTCTCTGACCAAAATAACAGAAGGAAATTCAGAAAACTCACAATTGTGTGGAAATTAAACAACACTCTTCTAAATAAACAATAAAAAGAAAAGTCACAGGGTAATTAGAGAGTACTTTGAGAAAAAAATGAAAGCACAACATTTAGAAATGTATAGGATGCAGGGCTCAAGCAGTGCTTAGAGGAAAATTTATACTTGTAAACACCTATATTAAAAATAAGAAAAATCTCAACTCAGTAATGTAAACTTGTACCTTAAGAAAATAGAAAAAGAACAGCAAACTAAACCGAAAGCAAATGTAAATAGGAAATAATAAAGATTAAAACAGCAATATATGAAATTGGGAATTTAAAAACTATAAAGAAAATCAACAAAACCAAAAAGTGATTCTTTAAAAAGATCAACAAAATTTGCAAAACCTTTATCTAGACTGACCAAGAAAAAAAAAAGAGAAAACAGGAATTACTAAAATCAGAAATACGGCAGCCGCGTGACAGAGCAGTTGCTTCTTCTATTACTCTGGAGGGGGCTTTGAGGAGAGGGACATCCTCTTTTTTTTCCTGTCTCCATTGGTGACTCTCTTTGTGTCACAGCAGTCAAGTGTCTGGCAGGCCTCCTGCATCAAAGCTATGGGTACTGCTATGGCTTCAAGCCACTCTTGCAGCAGCCATGACTATGGCAGTGGCTGTGGTGGACCACCCATGTAGAAGTGGCGTTTTTGGCGTGCTCCCTGCCTGCTTCTAGGAAGGGGATGCTGTCCTCGGCTCCTGCCTTGGGCCCCGGGGAATGCTCTGTTTCTTGCCTGTTTCCAGGTGGAGGGGGCTGCTCTCAGCTCCTCACAAGTGTTCTTCATTACAGTCCATATGGGTAAAAATCATCTCATTTTACAAACGAAGAAACTGAGGCTCAGGACAAAGGCATATCTCTAATGCAACTACGTTAACCTTTTCGTTAAAGTCTTCATGTCCTTAAATCCAGTGACACCTACTCACTCTCAAATGTTCAGAAACTGTGCAAAACCAACAGCCCATAAGCTGGTCTCTTGGTTCCATCTGTGAAATAAAAAAAAGTCAGTTGTCCAATTCACTTTGGAGGCAAAACGAATCCATGGAATTTTCTAAACTCTAAATTTTGCCCGAACTCTCACATCAAAACCCAATTGAATCAATTAGAATTTGAAAGTGAGAGTGTCAAACTTTGCACATAATTTCATCAAGCAGTCACTTTAATTTTAATATTGTCACATATTTCAGAAAAATATACAGACAGTGGTTCACTTCCTGAGGCCCCACCCTTAAGGTCAGACATCCATAGAATTGCATTAGATTTTTATTGCTGCCATGACAAATTAACACAAACTCAGCAGCTTAACCATTTACTATTGCACAGTTTTGATGGATCAGAAGTGTGGACACAGCATGGCTCAGCTGCTTACTCTGTTCTGGGTCTCACAAGATCAAAAGCAAGGTGTTGGCTGGGCTGAATTCCCTTTTGGAAGCTCTGGGGAAGAATCTGCTGCCAGGTTCACTCCGGTTGTTGGCAGAATCCAGTTGTTCTCAGTTGTAGAAATGTGGTCCCCATTTTCTTGCCAGCTGTCAGGTGGGGACCCACCCTTTTCTCCAGGAGGCCTCTCTTTAGACTTTGCACATGGGATCGTGCAGCTCAGAGCCAGCAACTGCTCATCAGAGCCTTCTGCACTGGGAATCTGTGAATTCCCTTCTGCCACATCTCTCTTCCTTCCTCTTCGACCTCATCTCTCTGCTGACTCCTCTGCCTCCCTCTTCTGCTTTTCTGCTTTATTGAGATATAATCCACATGCCATTCACTTCACCCATTTAAAGGGTACAATTCAATGGTTTTTAGTATATTCAGAGTTTTGTGTAACCATCACTACAATCAATGTTAGAACATTTTCGCCATCTCAAAATGAAGTACCCAGTAGCAGTCATACCCAATTTCCTGCTTCCCCCAGCCCCACTAATCTATTTTCTATCTCCATAGATTGTTCCATTCTGGAGATTTCATATAAAGGGAATCATACAACATGTCGTTTTTGTCATTGACTTCTTTCACTTAGCATAATGTTAAGCCTCATCCATGATGTGGCATGTATCAGGCCTTCATTCCTTTTTATTGCTGAATAAAATTACAATGTGTGGATATATCACATTTTATTGATCTCTTCATCAGTTGTTGAATATTTGTGTTATTTCCACTTTTTGACTGTCATGAATAATGCTGCTATGAACATTCATGTACATTAGTGTAATGTAAACCTGCCGGGTCATGTGCTAGCTCTGTGGTTTGAGGACCTGCCAAGGTGTTTTTCACAGCAGCTGCACCTATTCCATCACCACCAGCCATGCACAAGTGTTCCAGTGTCTCCACGTCCTTTCCAGCACTTGTCATTATCCGTCCTTTCTATTTTACTCATTTAGCCATCCTAGTGGGTGTGAGTGGTATTTTGTTGTGATTTTGATTTGTAAGTATTTATTGGCTAATGATATTGAGCATCTCCTTATGGGCTTATTGATAATTTGTATGTCTTCTTTGGAGAAATGTCCATGCAGATCTTGCCCATTTTTATATTTGGTTATTTATCTTTTTATTATTGAGTTGTATTAGTTTTTCTATATATTCTGCATTCAAGCACCTTACATGATATGTGAATTGCAGATATTTTCTCCATGCTGTTGTCTTTTCACTTTCTCATGGTGTCATTTGAAGCACACAACTTCTTAATTTAATGAAGTCCAGTTTATCCATTTTGTCTTTTGTTGCTTGCGCTTTTGCTATCATAGCTAAGAAACCATTGCCCAAGCCATGAATATTTACTCCTATATTTCTTTTAAGAGTTTTATAGTTTTAGCTCATACATTTACGTATATGGCCCATTTGCAGTTAATTTTTTTTGTTGTTGTTCTTTTTGAAACCGGCCACACCGCGCTCAGCCAGTGAGTGCTGTGAGTGCACCGGTCATCCCTATATAGGATCCGAACCCGCGGCGGGAGTGCTGCTGTGCTCCCAGTGCCGCACTCTCCCTAGTGTGCCACGGGCTCAGCCCTGCAGTTAATTTTTGAGTAGGGTGTAAAAAAGGGCTTCAACGTCGGTCTTGTGCATGTGGATATCCATTTGTTCTGGGTAACCAGAACAGCATGGTCCTGGCACAGAAGCAAACGCATGGACCAATGTGAAAAGACAACCCACAGAATAAAAGAAAATACTTGCAAACTATACATCTGACAAGGGATTAATATTTGAATATACAAGGAACTCAAACAACTTAACTGTAAAAATAGAAACAACCCAATTAAAAAATAGGCAAAGGAGCTGAACAGTCATTTCTCAAAGGAAGACATACAAATGGCCACCAGGTACATGAAAAAATGCTCAACATTACTAAGCATCAGAGAAATGCAAATCAAAACCACATTGAGATATCATCTTACCCCAGTTAGACTGGTTATTATCAAAAAGACTGAGAATAACAAATGCTGGCAAGGATGTAGAGAAAGGGGAACCCTCCTACAGTGTTGGTAGGATTGTAAATTAGCAGCCGTTATGGAAAACAGTATGCAGGTTTCTCAAACAACTACAGATAGAACGGCCATATGATTCAACAATCCCACTACTGAATATATACCCAAAGGAATGGAAATCATCATGTCCAAGGGATACCTGCACTCTCATGTTTGTCACAGCTCTATTTACAATAGCCAAGATATGGAACCAACCTAAACATTCATGAACAGATGACTGGATGAGGAAAATGTGGTATATATACTCAACGGAATGCTGCTCAGCCATAGAAAAGAATGACATTCTATCACTTGAAGGTACATGGATAAGCTTGGAGAAAACTATGTTAAGTGAAAATAGCCAGGCACAGAAAGAGAAATACCACATGTCCTCATTCATAGGTGGGAGCAAAGAAACAAGCAAAAAATTACAATAATACATTGAACTTTCAGAAAGAGAGCACAGAACTGTGGTTACTAGAGGTGGGAAAAGGGGATGGGGCAGGGAGCTAGTGAGAATTGGTTAATGGACATAAAGAATGATTATGTATTGTAATGATGAACATGCTCATTATCCTGATTTGATCATCAAGGATCGTATACAAGTATTGATAGTCAACTCTTAACCCCACAAATATGTATAATCTATTATGTTTCAATGAAAACATTTTTTTAAGACTATTCTTTTCCCCCATTGAATTGTTTTGGCACCCTTCTCAAAAATCAACTGACCACAAATGTGAGTGTTTATTTCTGGAATCTAAATTATATCTCAATGATTTATAAGTTTATCTTTATGCCAATACCACATTGTCTTGATTACTGCACCTGTGTAGTAAATTTTAAATCAAAAACTGTGAGTCCTCCAACTTTATCCCTTTTTTTCCCCAGGATTGTTTTGGTTATTTTGGGTCCCTTACATTTCAATAAAAATTTTAGAGTTAACTTGTCAATTTCTGCAAAAAAAAAAAAGGAAGAAAGGAAAAAACGTAGCTGGGATTTTGATAGGTATTGTGTTGAATATGTACACCAATTTGCTAAGGTATTCTCATCTCAACAATATCGAGCTTTTCAATCCATAAACACTGAGTGTCATTCCATTTATTTAGGTCTTTTTAAAATATTTTCAACATGATTTGCAGTTTTCAGTGTACAAGAAGTTTTGCACTTTTTTGTTTAATTTATTCATACGTATTTTATTATTTTTGATTCCATTGCTAATGCAATTGTTTTCTTCATTTTATTTTCAAATTGTTTATTATTAGTATATAGAAACACAGACAGTCCCCAACTTACAATGGTTCAACTTACAGTTTTTTTACTTCATGGTGCTGTGAAAGCAGTACACGTTCAGTAGATAGTGAATTCAGTAGTACTTCAAGTACCATACAACTGTTCTGTTTTTCCCTTTCCGTACAGTACTCAATAAATTACATGAGATATCCAACACTATTATAAAATAAACTTTTGTTAGATAATTTTGTCCAACTGTAGGCTGATGTAAGTATTCTACATGTTTAAGGTAGATGAGGCTAAGCTCTGAGGTAGGTTAGGTGTATTAAATGCACTTTCAATTTATGATATTTTCAATTTACAATGGACTCACCAGGATCTCACCCCATTGTAAGTGGAGGTGCACCTGTACAACTGAATTTTATATATTGACCATGTATCCTGACACCTTGCTGAATCATTTATTCTAATAATTTTCATTGGATTCTTTAGACTTTTCTATATATAAGATTATGTCATAGGCAAATACATCCTCTTTCTGATTTTAAGAACTCATGTGACTACACTGGGCCCACCCAGATAATCCAGGAAAATCTCCCTATTTTAAAGTCAGCTAATCAGTAACATCTATAGGGGCTATGTCCCTTCATAGCAGTACCTAGATTAGTATTTGATTGCATAATCAGGGGAGGGGATATGTGGGGGACATCTTTAGAATTTTGTCTAATACAAGAATTAGACCCCTTTTTAAAACCCTAGGCCTCAGACTCTTAAATCTTTAACTCCCGCTAAGAGAATCTGTATCACTTCCCCAGCCAGCACTGTAGCTGTAATCTTGGCCCACACTGCACAGCCCTTTGAATCACTTGAATGTTCCACCTACTTAGGAAAGAGACTTTCCTGCAGTCCGGGATGGTGCAAAAGGCCACAGTGATGATGACTATGAAAACCCTGAGCTTCAGATGGAAGAGGCGTGGCAGCCTATGAAAATTTTACCAGCCAGGCCTATAAAGGAATCTGAATATGCAGGTAACATTCAGGGTCTGCTGAAATCTGAAGATGCATGTTCATGCTGCAATATTGCATAGTAATTAAAGGGGAGGATTTTGAATTAAACCTACGTTAAAATACTGTCTCCAAAGTTTACTAGCTATGTGGCTTTGAGCAAGTCTCTAAAACTCACTTTCTCTATCTGAAAATTGGGTTTATAATGATAGAATTTATCCCAGAGAGTTGTCTTGAAGATTACATGAATGCCACACATTGAGTTCTCACCAGAGGACCTGGCACGGAGCCAGAGATCTACAACTCCTTACCTACTGTCATCCTTATGATGCTCTTCTTGAGTCTTAGTGGTGGGCAGGCAGGGATGTGAGCCACATGGGAAATGTGAAGATGGAGTTTGCATAGCGGGGAGTCGAGTAAAAGGGAAGACATTTAAACTTGGTTGATTTATTTTTGCAGGTAGCCAGTCTCTGAGTAATATTAGGGCATGGAGGTAAAGCCACACTACTTAGGACTAGGGAAGACCTAATTTCATAGCCATCTCTCTTTCTAACTGGGGCATATTGGGCAGCTTCAGCATGTTCTCTGAACCTTAGATAAAACACACCATTGGAAGGGAAAAGAGGAAGCCTTCATGATTTCTGAGGGCCTGACCCACTGAAATCCATCTATAGAAGTTTCTCTGGGGAGAATCACCTTGTAAATAATGATGATGTTCCTTTGTTCATTTATCCCACAAGCATTTACTGAGCATCTACTCTGTGCCAGTTACCGTGTTAGGATCGGTCAGGGGACACAAAAGACAAACAAAACATAACCCACACCCTCAGGAATTTCACAGTCTAGTGGCAGAAACAGACAGATCAACAGATAAATGTGACAGAGCATGGTAAGTGGATGATGTGGAAAGGAGAGCCGTGGTAGGTGGGATCTAGGGAGACTTTTAAAGGGCATGGCACAGCCTAAATCTTGAAGAATTAGTAGGATTTCTCAGGTGGATGAGAAAACGAAGGATATTCAAGTTCAGATGCTGGCATTTATTTGTGTGAACTGAGAGAGGCAATTTCTCCTCTTTGAACCTCGTCTGTTAACAGAGTAGAATTGCTTGCCTTGGACCTACATTGTGACGATTGTAATGCGCTTATTCCATGTGAGGTATGACTTTAATATTTTTCCCTTGCACAGATACACGCTATTTCAAGGATGTGATGGACACTCCCCCTCCATCACACACCAAGACCTTGTGCCCCATTGAGGGGCAAACCTGGAACACATGGATGAAGCTGAAAGAGGTGAGTGAAGGCTGGACCCTGTGAACCAAACATGCGTAGGGCACTTCCTAACCAGCTGGGGGCTGCCCTGTCTCTCGTTCCCTGAGGCATCTCATTAGGTAAAGAGCAGGTCAAGCTTGGTGAGATGCAGGGCACTGACTCACACGACTGGTAAGATCATGGTCCTGTGGAGTAAGCATCTAGAAGGAAGGAGAATTACAATTTGATGAAGATTTACTGTGAGCCAGGCATCAGGATAAGGAGATTCACACCCACATCTCACCTAATGTTCGTGGTATTCTCCAGAGACAGAATGTGAACTCACATCTTGCTGATAGTAATATATCATTTTGCCCAAATCCTCAGCCCAACATTACCAGCTGCTAACTGTGTGATAACAGGTAACTCACACAACTTCTCTGAGCCTGTTTGTAACTTCATTTACAAAAGGGGAATAAAAATCCCTACCATGCTTATTTCAAAAGTCTGTTTGGAGGCCACAAAAGGTAATTTTATAAAAATACCTCATAAATGCAAATGTTCTATATAGAATTTTATTTTTTTATTTCATTAAGTTTATTCTACTTTTTAAAAAAATATCATTATTGGGGGCCGGCCCGGTGGCGCACTGCCTGAAACTGGGTGATTTATAAAGAAAAATGCAATTTATTGCTTACACTTTCTGAGGCTGGGAAGTTCAAAGTCCATCTGGTGGTGGCAACTTTGACCCAGGGGTCTCACATTGCAAGATGGTGGAAGCAGAGAGAGCTAGAGAGAAAGAGAAGGGGCTTCTTTTAAAGCCCTCAGAACCACACCCTTGACCACCATTTTTAACCCGTTCACTACTGCACAGTCCTACAATCCAATCACCTCTTCAAGGCTCCACCTTTCAATTACCATAATAGGATTTCCCACCCTTTTAACAGTCACAGTGGGGGTAAGTTTCTAATACATAAAACATGGGGACATAATTCAAGCTTCAATGAGTTTGGGGGGTACATAATTCAATCCAGTACAATTATTATTATTTTTTATTGGGAGATAGTTGGTTGTACATATCTGTGGGGTACAGCATTGGATATCAATAACAGTATGCAGTATGTGATGTTCAAATCAGGATAGTTAGTATATTCATCATTATGTAATGTAATCGATTTTTGTGGCCCTTTACCAATTCCTCCCTTTCCCCGCTTCTCTCTCCTCCTTTCCCACCCCCAGTAACTTCAGTTCTGTTTGCATCTCTTAAAATGTTCAACGTATTATTGTGTTTGTTGTATTTCTTTTCTTTCTTTCTTTCTTTTTCTTTCTTTCTTTCTTTCTTTCTTTCTTTCTTTCTTTCTTTCTTTCTTTCTTTCTTTCTTTCTTTCTTTCTTTCTTTCTTTCTTTCTTTCAGCTCCCACATATAAGTGAGGACATGCAGTATTTCTCTTTCTGTGCCTGGGTTATTTCACTTAACATAATTTCCTCTAAATTCATCCATGTTGCTGCAAAGGGCAATATTTCATTCTTTTTTATAGCAGAGTAGTATTCCATTGTGTAGATGTACCACAGTTTCCTTATCCACTCATCTGATGATGGGCATTTAGGTTACTGCCAACTCTTGCCTATTGTAAATAGAGCTGCAATAAACATGGGAGTACAGGTATCCCTTCAACATGATAATTTCCAGTCCTTTGGGTATGTACCCAGCAGTGGGATAGCTGGATCATATGGCAGTTCTATCTGTAGATGTTTGAGGAACCTCCACACCATTTTCCATAATGGCTGTGCTAATTACAGCCCCACCAACAGCCTAGGAAGGTTCCACTTTCTCTGCATCCTCACCGGCATTTGTCATTCTCTGTCTTTCTGATAATAGCCTGTATAACTGGAGTGAGACACTATCTCAGTGTGGTTTTGATTTGCATTTCCTGGATGCTGAGTGATGTTGAGCATTTTTTCATGTGTCTGTTGGCCATTCATATGTCTTCCTTTGAGAAATGCCTGTTCAGCTCCTTTGCCCATTTTTTAATCTGGTCACTTGTATTTTTACTATTAAGTTGTTTGAGTTTATCATATATTCTGGATAGTAATCCTTTGTTGGATGCATATTTTGCAAATATTTGTAGAATTTTATTTTTATAGATATATATAGAATTTTATTTTTAATAAAACAATTGCCAACATTTAATTTTCTTAATATAGAAATACCTAAAATATAAATTACTCACTCCTGGGTTTGCAGGGTTATCAGTCATAACATTTTAGTGCATTTCATATCAGTATTTTCTGTGCAGATATATGTCATACCAAGGAGGTCTAGTTGTGTGGTATATACCTGGTTTTCTTTTCTTTTCACATTAAGTTCTGGTTATAAAATAATTTTCTGTGTGATTAAACAAACACTCATATGCATACTTTTTTATAGATACAGCATACCCCATTATGGAATTTTTAATTATTGTACTACAACATTGAGTAAAAACATTTTAAGAGCTTTGGGTATATATTGTGAAATTTCCTAACTAAAAAATTGTTTCAATTTACCCTCCCAGAAGTCCTATATGGGAATGTCCACCTCACAGAACTCTCACCAAAACAGGCTATTACTTTTTTAATCATAATTTTTTTAAAAGGGGGGAGGGGCTCACTGGTCTTTTTTTTTTTTTTTTTTTTCAGTTTGTACCACATTTGTTAGGGAGTGTAAATAAACATACTTTTGAATATTCACATTATTCCTTGTGTATTATATGTTCATATTGTCTATCTATTTAACTTGAGGGCTTCGGTTAATATGAACAAGAGAAAGACACTACAGATTTGACCAAGCCATGCCATTTACACAGAATATATCTGATGGAAATTGAGGGAGCAAGATGAGAAATGAAATATCAAACACTTTCTCTTTACACAGGCACTGAGCTAAACACTTCAATCATTGGCTCAACAAATTCATTCAAGGGCTGTGTCTTTGTGCCTGCCAGGATCAGGCACAATTACACACTCTGGGGACTTATCAGTCAACAACCAATGCCCTCTGATGAAATTTACAGACTCATGGAAGGAGACCAATAATAAACAATTATAATAGACAATATGGCGAGTGATAAGTATTTTGAAAGACTAATTACAGCAGGATAAGGGATGTAAAAAATCTTAAAAATTAAAATTTTTTTAAGAAAGCTTTTCTTGGTAGAGATTGAACTGAAAGAATGAATGATATTTAATCCTTAAAATAACCTTGCAAGATAAACATTATCATCCCCATTTTGATAGCTCCAATTTTACAAGCTCTGTGCCTTTGGGTCAGTTAGTCACTCTCTCTGAGCCTTCATTGTCTTACCTAGAAAACCTCATTGCTGTTGTGATAATACACAGAGAGCACCATGCCCAGCACAAAGCGATCAGCCGGTAAATATTTCTATGAAGACAGGGACTATTTTAGCCCCAGTACATAGCACAGAGCCTTATGTAAGAGGTTCTTGATAGATGTTAACTGGATGGAAATGAACAAACTTTCAATAATTTGAGCTCAATCTTCAAACATTAATAGCTATTTAATAGGAAAAGAGACCCAGTCTCTCCCCAGTTTCATTTCTGTTCACACAGAATACTTTTGCAGGCTGGACTTCAAAGTTCTCCTTTGCTACTAATCTGCAGCCCCACAGGGGGACACTGGACAGGGAGGGGAGCATTTCAGGACCCTGATCACTGGAGCCTAAAGCACGTTCAGGGAACAACAAAGAGTTCAGAGTGATTAGACCAGTGGCTGAAAACACAATTTCTGGTGTGGTTACAAAGGAGCAGAGAATCCTCAGCAAAGAAGTTTACCTTTCCTTTCCCTAAAAATCACTGATAATCCTCCTTTATATGTAGATAAGCCTTCATGAGTAGAACCTTTTTCTTTTTTAGGAAATATAATTCTCATTTGATTTTTCTAAAACAACTACGCCAGAACTTAAGCCTCCATTCTTATTTCTTTATATTCCTTCACATTATCTTTGTAGCTTCCTATTAAAAACAAATTTCTTCCTTAGCTAGATGAGTTTGTAACTACAATCTCAACATTTTAAGTCTGTCAACCTAAATAACAAAGACAGAGAGGCTCTCTACAAGAAAATGGTATTTATTTGGGAACAGGGCATTACAGTGAGAATACACATGCTGTACTGAACTATGTGCATATTCAGGGAGGAAAAGGAAGACAAAGAGTTTTGAAGAAAAAATAATGGAGAATTACATAATAGTTTGGAGATAATTATTCTTGGCTACAGGAATGAATAACAAGGGTGACGCCAGTCTGAGTTTGGACAGGCCGTTGCTGAGCAGATATCCTTGCAAAGTACTTTTTTATTAAGGTTGCAATGGCTCTGTGAAAGGTTGTGGCTTTGCAAAGTTTTTGGTGATATTTGTTGTTATCAGGCATGCGTGCATGAGAACGGCCCCCTTCGTGGCCTTCCCCAGCTCTATTTGTCAGGGGTTTTTTATCATAAGCAATTGCATTTTGATTCTGAAAACTTTTACACGTCAGAAAAATCATGTGAGAAAAAGGGTAGGAAAGGCCTGAGCAAAGTGTTGGCCAGGAGGGAGATTGTCTTATAAATTAAATAAGGACTTGGCCTCAATTCAGATAGAGAGGGAGTTTAACTTTTGTAATCAATGTTTGAATAATCAGATTTTTATGGCAAGCAGATTATCCTTTTTTGTTAGGACATCATTACCACAAGTTGCTTCTTATCAGTTCTGTATGTTTATGTTGCGATTAAACTATCTGTGAAATGGATCTTTAATAATCCTCACAAAGACCAGTTATTATCTAGACTCCTCATGTCGGTTGCAACTATCTTGCCCTAGACTGCTGCTCATCTTTCTTAAAGGTTTTCAAAGACATGGGGCACCTTTATAACATCATCATCTCCTCACCTTCATGTCTTCCAATTGTACAGCTCTTAGTAGCTCACAATGTCTGTAATAATATTAGTAATGAATGACACCTGCATTCAGCATGATTGGTGACACCCCTTGTCCTAGGTGTCCCCCTTTCCCACATGAGGAATTTGAGCCTCACAAGATTGAGCGACCTTGTCCCATGGCCATGTTCTCATAGCCAGTGCATGATGGAGGTGGAATCCCAACCCAGGTTTCACACGAGGCCACACTCTGATCTGAGTGTTTGATCACTTTCATGTACCTGATCATGTGTGTTGATCTTCATAATAACCCAGTGAAATGAATTGACTGAATATTTTCTCTATTATAAAGATGAGAAATCTGAAGCTCATAATATGCTAAATGCCTTTTCCAAAGTTTCACAGAAATAAGAGGCAGAGTTGGATCTCAAACCCAAGTATTTTTATGCCAAATACCACCTAGGCCACTGCATCCTTTGCTGGCAGTGGTACACCTATGGGTACATTGACTGCACCCATACGTGTATGGAAGTCTCTAAGAATGGCGAGTCCAGGTACTTTTGCCCTTATCCTTGGGGATCTAACCATAGATAGTGACAAGACGTGAGATGGTGTCATAGTCACAATTTAAGAGGTAATGGTGCTACATTGTCTTCTACAGGTGGACAAACCCATTTCCAAGGACATCAGAAGCCCACATGTTAAAGGTAAAGTGATGTCACAAAAAGCTGGAAATACAAGTATGAGAAAACCTACTTTGCTTCCAAGATCCTCTTGCGTTTTTATTTGTAGTCATGGGTTATCTTAAATAAGGTGATCTATTGCATTACCCCTCAGGAAATAACTACCTAATTTTAGAAAGAGTCCCACACACCTAATGCTTTTTTATCAGATCTTTTACCTTATTGATGAAGAAATTGATATCAAAAACGCGTATTTCAAGTTGTGTGATTTTGGAAAGGAATTGTTGTGAAACATACGGATGGCATTAACTATATAACTATGTTATTTCTCTAAGCATACCCCCAGAAAAATCACAAGATAGAAATCTAATTTCAAAATGTTGATTAATTAATATAAAAATAGGTTTTAAAGCTTTAGGCAAAACAACTCAATTTGAAGATGAAAATAGAGGAATGAGCCTAAAAACAAATAATCAATTTCACTATCACTAGAAGCATAAATGGAGGACAGCCAAAGAAATTTAATTGGATCGCATCCATTATAGCTTCTCACATTTCCCCCTGTGCCCCATCTCCTCTTACAATGTCCAATTGGAAAATATGACAATCCTATGATTTACACTTGCCAATAATTGAAACATAACAAATTCGCCCTTTATTTGTCTAATGCTATATTCTATAATGTATTACTAACACCACTTCTTCTTTAATGGGAAAGTGCGACAGTTAGGGTCCCAACAAGAAACAGATGGCACACTCAAATTAGAGTAATTGAAGGAAGTTTATCACAAAGAAACTATTTACTGAAGTGTGTGGGCTGTTGGACACAAACAAGGAATGAGACAGGAACTGTCACTAGCAGCAGTAGGGCTGTCACCACTGCAGACCCAAAGGGATGAGAAGACAGTCACTGAAAACCCCGAGGAGCATGCCCCCTTAACAGGAACAGTGACCATTGGACCATTGGTCGAGGGACACCACCAGCCCAGGCGGACCTCACAAGGAAGGGGGCTGAGGGAGTCGATACCTGACCTCTCTCTCCAACCTCCTCTTCCCTCCTGCTCGGGCTTCTCAATTGCTGGACCAAACCAGAACAAGACGGCAGAGCCTTCTGTCCACGTCTATACTGGTCAGCCTCCGAGGCAGGGAGCAGAGTGCCACGGGACAAGGCTGGAGGCCAACGGAAGAAACCACAGCAGGAAGCGCAGCCAGGAGGAGGCAAAACCAGGCTCTGCCACGCCCTTGCTGCAGGACCTTAAGTGAGACACCCAACCTTTCTGAGCTGTGCTTTCCTCATTTAACATATGGGGCGAGCAGGCCTTTACGTCTACTTCCTTCAGCTGCATTAGCAGAGAGAGGATGGAAAGGACAACACTCCCTGTCTCTCGCTCACCTGCATCCCGCACAGCCTCACGGCCTCCTGTCTGTCTTCCTTCCATCCCTCTCCTAAACCCCAAGACACAGGGGAGCTGTCACATCAGTGCCTCATTAGTCCTTAAAAATGGCAATACCTTTGATGGACACAGCACTCAATACAAGGCTCTTCTCCACCAATGGATGTATGCCACTTCTTAGAAACACCAGGTGGGTCATGTAGAGAAAGTATTTTCCCTCCTCTTGGCAGAGAAGGGGGCCAAAAGCACAGACCACACCATGATCATTTGATACACAAATGTCATAAAAGCATGCTTTGTAAGCATCCGTTGAGAAATGAGGCCTGGGGAGAAACCAGAAATGGATTTCACAACTGCTGCCTTTTTTATAGTTCACTGTGGACATTCACCCTCACTTCTTTGACTACAGAAGCTTCGTTGACTATTATTCCACAAATTGATATGTCTTCTTATCCATCTATCTGTATTTTATCTACACTTTGCCTCAGTTCGGAAAAAAACTGAAATAGCTAATAAAAACTAGAACAGTAAAATAGAAGAAAATATAGATAGGTGACATAATCAAAATAAAAATAAAATTTAGGATCCTCAGGCACACACATCACTAAATTCTATTAAAATTAAACTGCTAATTTGCCTGTGAGCTTCCTGGTAGTCTAAGCAAAGAGAGAATCAAGTTCCTTTATGTGAGGGCCATCCGGTTAGTTCAGCTGGTTAGAGTGCAGCCTTGTAACACCAAGGTCATGGGTTTGGATCCCCATACAGGCAAGCTGCCAAATAAATAAATAAAAGAGAAATAGCAAGTTCCTTTATGTCATATTAATTTGCCATAATAAAAAAGCAAACCAATTCCTCAGGGAAATCAACAGGACATATCTTTCAGGATTAAGTTAGAGCTGTTTATTTTATAGCAGATGTTGGCTGATATACGAGCACCATAGTTATAAAAATATGACTGTTTTTTAATGTAGGCCCATTAAACTGAGACTATAACTGCAGAGAGGACCTCAGTGAAAGCAAGGCTCACAGGAGCTGAGCGTTGTTGGGAGTGAGGACAGGTACGTGGAAGATTTCTCCAATAAGAGTAGTTTTCTTTTTTTTTTTTTTTTTGGCTTTTTCGTGACTGGTAAGGGGATCGCAACCCTTGGCTTGATGTCACCCGCACCGTGCTCAGCCAGTGAGCGCACCGGCCATTCCTATTTAGGATCCAAACCCGCGGCGGGAGCTTCACTGCACTCCCAGTGCCTCACTCTCCCGAGTGCATCATGGGGCCGGCCCAAGAGTAGTTTTCTTTACATCTTTTTTTCCCACCCTTCCATAATTGATGGTTCTCCATCAGCACCTAGAGCTCTAGGGTGCTACACAGAGAAGGAGGCTGGAAGGAGGAAATTAATATGAATGCCCCCATTTTTAGGATCAGGCGTCTTGCTGGAAAATGCTTGAATGATTTATGTGTTTATTACAAAATTCTGTATTTTTGATGCAAACACATTCTCAGATAATTTATTCCTTCTCACAAAATGTCATAGAAAAAACATACTGGTTGGCTCAGTAATGGCAGAATTTTATGGTGATATTTTTCATCAAGTTGAGCAGTTATAGATTTATGTTAATGTACATTTTATGTAATTTTTCTTGCAATCATATTCTGACATTATCTGGAAACTGTCAGATTTTAAAAACTTATCTTCCCTGAAGCTTGGCTTTTTTTTTTTTTTTTTTCTTTTTCAGTCCTAAAAGTGGGTAAAGTTTATTTGGAGGCAAAGTGTTCACAATGTAAGTTGTTTGTGATGAACCACTAGCATTAACCACAGATCCAGAAGAAATGATCTCGTTTTCAGGTGGGGGGATAGCTGTAATTTTCAAATATGATGTGGTTTTGCTTCCTAGAGAAACCAAAGCTGGCAGTGAAGGAGGCTAAAATGCATTTTTCTTTGTCCTAGATGTGAACCAAGCACAAACTCTAAACCAATTTCCTTTGAGGTGACAAGCATACCATGTGCAAGAATGAATTTATAAAGAAATGCAATAAACCATCCAAGAAAAAAAAAAGAATTATGCATAGAAGACTGAATATGTATACACAGAAACACAAGCTTGGTGGAAAGAAGCAAAATAGAATTCCACAAAATGCCATCAAAAGATCTTTATAGTAATTTGCTTTTAGACAAATTTAGATGAGAAAGAAATTAGAGTCAGAAATAAGTTTAGAGTTAATCTAGTTCAACTCCCTCGTTGTACAGAAGATTTAGCAAGGGGAGTGGCTTGCTGGAGGTCAGACAGCAAGCAGTCAGCGCCAAGACCAGAGACAGTGTTTATTCAGCTATGCTAATGTTCCCAGGGTTTTACTGTATTTGCTAGTGTAGAAAATTTATTCTGAAAATTCCCCTCTAGTTCTCTGATAACCCATTCATCCAAACACAGTTAAGTGCCAAACACAGGAATTCATAGGTGATATTAGCCCCTAGTGGCAGAACATGGCAATGCAAAACATACAATAATACTGGAATTTGGTATCCTCCAGATTAATTAACAAAAATAACAAGCCTTAGGTCACAGAGTTCATCAGAAATAAATTTCAGATTATTCCCTCACTATTTTAGATTTACATTTATTTCAGCCACAACCCATGTCTCAAAAGCAACAGAGGTATTGCTATAATACTGGATTCAAAGCTAATGCTATACACTTTGTAAAATCACTCATTAATGGGACCACAGAACAGTATTTTATCTCACCACCACACAGGGAAAATAATAAGGTTCAGAGAAAAGGAAGGGCGTCTGATAACTACTTGATGTAACAAATGCATTTTTCAATAAAGAAATACAAGGCAGACATAAACAGGAGAAGAATTAAAAACCAGGTATTTGATAAAAGAATTTCAAGAAAATCCTTATCTTTCAAATAATAAGTCCCCAATGAAGACCCAATTTCCTAAAACAATTTCAATGTGCAAGAACTGTCTTTCCATAGACAAAATATGCACCTTCCCACAAAATCATTTCAAAATCACTTAATATGTATGCATAATAAAAATAACCTTTTTTTCTATGTAATTCCAGATGTTAACTAGACTCAACCATTCAAGTTTGCTCTGGACTGAGAGGTCCTGAGAGGCAGGACTTTCAAAACTGGGCAAACTGCGACTTCTGTGCCTGCATGTCTCCCATGCACGCCAGCAGGATGGAAGGGATATTTTGTTTATTTAATCGAGAGTTTTAAAATAGCAGAATCTCCATCCTGCAGCCCCTGCCTTGTAGCTGAGGCACAGCATCTCTCACAGGTGCTTGAGCAGGCCTAGGGCTCTCGCAGGCAGCCCACCCACCTTGAACAGACCCAGCTGTTCACTGTCAGCTCATTGTAAGGAACAGCTCTCCTTCCTGCAACTTCTTCCATTGCTTCTTGCTCTAAGCAGTGCAAACTACAGTGACACTAAATAATTGTGCAAGATGTTGAGAGTCATATTAAATAAAAGGGGTCTCTGGATGCACTAACCTGGAGAAACACTGAGTTAAACACAAGTGAATAGATCCCTTTGTGCCCAACTTTTCAGAGCACTGTGGATCTCCAAGAGGGGACAGGACATGGAGAAATCACAGCTCAAGTGTCCGTGGAACCTGCTCTTTC